GGCAAAGAGGCACGACAATAACAAAGCCACCGTCTCGGGGCATGCAGCTCCAAGGTGAGTGGGGAGAGGGCAGCAGGCTGTGACAGCAGGGGGTGCAGTTAGGAGCCCAGCACCCAGGGCCGGGAGGGACGGCCCCAGAAGAGCCCTCATTGTGCAGCGCGAGGGATGGTGAGGGTGAGCTTTCTACACTGGGTGGCTTCGGTGGTAGGAAGCCCCAGCAGAGACCTCACCAGCTCAGGGCTGCCAGAGGCCTCTATAATAATAATAATACTCTCCACTCCACTGGGGAGTGTCCCCAGCTGAGCAGAGTTTGGATTTCAGGTGTGGAAGCTCCTTGCATGCAGGAGAATGGCCAGGTGCTTTCCCATGTTCTGCGGGCGTCCAGGGCGGAGACATCTGAAATATACCTACAACTTTGAGGACGGAAATCTGAGATGCCTTGATGGGCCCCCAAAAGAGATAAAGGAGCAACTAGGGGCTGGCTCCCTCTTTTAGAAGCTTTGAAAGAGCTGGACATACCACCCTGTCCTTGAGTGTTCAGGAGCGGCCTCTCATGCCAGGGCAGCTATGGGAAGATGGCTATCACTGTTCCCTCCGCCCCTTTGCCTTCCTTCTCCCAGACAGGAGAGTCGCTCAGCAGGCTGGCCCCTCCAGCTCCCGCGCCCAGTGCAGAAGGATCTCCTTCCATTCTGACTCCACCAGTCAGGGCTCTTCCTGGGGCAGGTCTGCAGGCCCACCTCCCCATCACCACCACCCACATGGGGTGTGGCCATGACCTGGGATCCCAGCCACTTCTCCATATGATGTTTCCAGAGAACTCGGGGATCTGTCCCTAAAGGGTTCAGAACCCACAGATATGATTAGTTACCACCTCCAAAACAGACAGTGGCACACTGCAGGCTACGCAGCCCCGAGTCCCGGACTTCACGGATGCTCCATCTGGGAAGCAGGGGCTGCAGCCCGGCTGCCGACTGCAGTCGTTGGGAGGTGAGTGAGGCGGTGGTCGGCTGAGTACAGTTTCCTTCTTCAGCCCGACCTTCCCTTCAAAACCAACTTCTGTCAAGAATCATTTAAATTTCCTTCCTGTTTCACCGGCAGTGAAGCGGCCCCTGCCAGACCTGGCTGGTCCTGGCGCCTCCTTTGCGAGCTGAATGCTTTGGTTTTCTCGGCAGCTTCTCCGCAGCCCACTAATGAGGCCCTGTTAGTGGTTATGAATGTAAATGCATTCTTTGTTATCCCTGAGAGATCAGGATTAGTGAAATGACAGAAGTTATTGCTTCTGTTAGGAAGATATGATACTGGTTGTTGTTGTGTCTTTAATTGTGTAGAAAAGAGCAAAAGTAGAGAGCTACATAGTCTAAACAAACAAAAAGCCATGGAAGAAAAAACTTAGCCCAAAACATGGAAGATGGAAGCTGTGGCGTCTTGCTAACGTTATGGGAAATTGGGAAACATGAAGGCCGTCTCCTTTGCATTCACCAAAAACCGAATAGCAAAAACAAAAACAGCTCTGCCTTTGGAGGGGGGGGGCACAGACAGATTCCTTGGGTTTGTTGTTGGTGGCAGATGAATTAAGCTGTGTACCAGGCTAATGTGCTTTGCTTCAAGCAACTTCATTTTTGTCTCCATAAAAAGAACTAGCAGTGGATCCTGTTTGCCCAAAAGACACGGGTTGAATTGAGCAAATAAAATAATGCTCATACCTTATGTGAATTAAGGAACTGCAAAAGTCTGAGTCTTATAAGACCCATGAGGATGAGGCTGCCCTGTCAGAGGCGAGGAGCGTGGGAGGGAAACTAGGAGGCCAAAGGCGTCACGACCTGTAAAGAATCAACCTCCTAATGTGACCCTCCAGGAAGGCACAGAACTAAAGGACTGGGGCAAGTCACTGTCCAAAGAGTTGCTAAAACTACAAAGTCAGAATGTGCCTTGATATGTAGAGATTAAATACAGAAGATAGGCGTGAGGAAAAAATACGGGAAAAGTTAGACAACCCTAATAAGCAAAGAGCACTCACAAATGAATTAAGACAAAAAAAAAATGCTTACTTGGAAAACGAGCACAGGGGAAAATAGACTAAGGTTATAAGGAGGCAATTCACAAAAGATAAAATACACATGAACAATTATCTTATGAAAATATGTTCAAGTTTACTAACTCACTAATAATCAGAAAACCACAATTAAAAATAAATAAGTCGGCTCGGCACCTATAGCTCAGCTGGCTAAGGCGCCAGCCACGTACATCTAAGGTGGCGGGTTCGAATCCCCAGCCCGGACCCGCCAAACAACAATGACGGCTGCAACCAAAAAATAGCCGGGCGTTGTGGCGGGCACCTGTGGTCCCAGCTATTTGGGAGGCGGAGGCAGGAGACTCGCTTGAGCCCAGGAGTTGGAGGTTGCTGTGAGCTGTAATGCCACGACACTCTACCCAGGGGGACAGCTTGAGGCTCGGTCTCAAAAAATAAATAAATAAATAAATAAATAAGTCTTTGTCACCTAACAAATGGGCAAATATTAAAATGACTGGGTGCAGTAGACAGAATAATGTCTCTTCTTCACAGAGAGATGCCCACACCCTAATGGCCGGGACCTGTGAGCACGTCACCTGACACGGCAGAAAGGACTCTGCAGATGTGATGAAGTGAAGGGTCCTGGGATGCGGGATCGTCCTGGACCATGAGGTGGGGGCGGAGGGGTAATGTAATCCCAAGGGACCTCCTAAGAAAAAGGCAGGAGTGTCAGAGTCAGAGAAGGAGATGTGACCACAGAAGCAGAGGCCAGCAAGAGAGATGTGAAGATGCTACTCTGCTGGCTTCAAAGACAGGAGGAGGCCACGAGCCCAGGGACCCGGGCAGCCTCCAGGAGCTGGAAAAGGCAAGGAGACCAGTTCTCCCTCAGCGCCTCCTCAGGAAAGAATGCAGCCCTGCCAACACCTTGGTTTTAGGATTTCTGGCCTCCAGAACCATAAGATGCATGTGTTTGTGTGTTTTATTTATTTATTTAATCAATCTTTTGAGGCAGAGTCTTGCTTAGTCACCCAGGCTAGAGTGCTGTGGTATCATCATAGCTCACTGCAACCTCAAACTCTTGGGTTTAAGAGATCCTCTTGCCTCAGCCTCTTGAGTAGCTGGGACTACAGACACCCGCTATAACATCTGGCTAATTTTTCTGTTTCTAGTAGAGACAGGGCTCACTCTTCCTCACGGTGATCTTGAGCTCTGAGCTTATGGGATCCTCCTGCCTTTGCAAGAGTAGTAGTAGTACAGGCATAAGCACTGTACCCCACTGTATCCCACCTAAATTTGTGTTGCCCTAAACCACCAAGTGGTGCTCTAAGCAGGGATTCCTACCTCCACCCCAGCATCGAGAAGCTGGGGGCTTCAAGAAAGGCAAAGGTGGCTTCTTGGGGCCATGTAGCTGCCAGGCGGCACTGGATCTGAGCCAGACGGGGAAGCACCAAAGCTCATGCTGGCTTCTACCCTCCCCAGGGCCTGCTGCTGCCCCTCATTCTATGGACTACCACAGCCACCTAGGAGTAGACTCACTCACAGACCCGCCCAGCACAGGGCGTGGTTTCTGACGGATGCAGCTTTGCCCCACTGGGGACTAGGACATCTTAAGGAGGGGTGTGGGAGAGCTGGCCAGGGTGTCTCCTGGAGTGGGGGTGGGGCTTTCAGCCTGATCTCACCTGCTTCCTCATGCACTTGCTCGCTCAAGAAAATGGCAGAAGGTGAGGAGCTGCTGCAGGGAGGGCATGGTGCCTCCACAGTCCTTCCCATCAGCAAGGCCTCTCTATGGGACGGTGGGCCCACAGAGTAGAATCTGGTTTTTGTTTTTGTTTTTTTCTGAGACAGAATCTCACACTGTCACCCTGGGTAGAGTTGTCATGGCATCACAGTTCATAGCAACCTCCAACTCTTGGGCTCAAGTGATCCTCTTGCCTCAGCCTCCCTATACCTGGGACTACAGGCACCCACCACCACACCCAGGTATTTTTCAAGACAAGGGTCTTGCTCTTGTTCAGGCTGGTCTCGAACCTGTGAGCTCAGGCAATCCACCCGCCTCAGCCTCCCAGAGTGCTAGGATTGTAGGCGTGAACCACCCGGCTCTGCCCAGGATCTATTTATACATCAAGTGCACTAATCATAATTAAAAGATACTACACCCACATTGCTCACTATAAAATCAACTTCTGGGTTGATTTTCATAACAATAAGCATACATTCAGCCAGACTTACTGAGCTTGTATGGACTGCACAGAGGAGCTATGGCCCGTTAAGCAGGAGAGGAGATTGCAGGGGACGGGAAATTCACGGCCCCTGAGGAGATGCAGGGTCCCGAGCAGCCCTGCCAGGAATTAGCAGTGTGGGCTTAGCAGCTGAGTTTTGTCCCATGGCTCATCATGGACTCAAGAAGGTGGACTAAAATGATCTCAAATGTGCCCTTGCTGGAGCCAGATCCTGGGAGTCTACTGTAGACTGCAGAGGGGACCTGGAATGATTGCTGGGCTCGGCTTCCCCCACCAACCAGATGAGCACCAAGTCCCTCAAGACCAATGCCCCTCAGTACTCACAGCTGCAAAGCGGTCTGAACCTTTCCACTTCTGACTGCTGATGAAATGGGGATATTTGCCCATAGTATTTTTGTATAACAAATAATAAAGGATATGGGAAGCTCCACGGCCTCTCCTGGCTCTCAATTTTAAGTGTTACCAGTTATGAAAAGCAACATCCTTGTTCCTTAGAAACAGGAACATTCTAAGCCACGGTGGTGACCCTACCACGTCCACAAATCAGCGGGCTTGAGGTCAGGCGCCGACACCGAGAGGCCTTACTGAGGAGCAAGCTCCAGAGCCTCAGCTAGAGAGATAGCCCGGTTCCTATTTCCTGGATGTTTTCCCTAATTTTGAGTCCCAGATGCTCAGACAGCCTCCCGTGGAGAAAGTTCTCCCCAGAGCCTTGGAAGGTTGTGGCGGTTAGTGGGGACAGAGAGACTTACCCGCCATCTTCTTTTCAAAATAGGGCCGGATGAGCTCGCCAAACTTCGTCTGGTCTGCCACGGCCTCTTTCAGCAGCTGCCCACAGCAGACTGGGGAGAGAGGAACAGAAAGGCACCTGCTAAATTTTAAATAGGAGGAAGAATGAGGAAAAAAACAACCCAGTGTTGCTTGTTGGAGAAAAACGGTCACTGAGATAAATACAATAGAAAGGGGTTTTCTGTGTGGGGGATGTGTCCACGTCTAAGTAAATATCAAAGGGGGCTGGAAACGGGGAGTAGGAGGGAAGATGTGGAAGGGAAAGGAACATGAGGGCGAGGAGCTCGTCATCCCTGGACACCACCTGAGGACGCGCCGGGCAGAGTGGCCGACAGAGAAGCCCGTGTGCACGAGACCTGGCTACACCTCGACTTGACGGCAGAGACTGGCGCCCTGGGGTCACTGTCGAGGACCAACATTCAGATGGGAACAGGTGCCCCACGCTCACGCTGTTACTGCAGAGCAGAGGGCCCCAAGCGTGTTGCCGTCTCTATGGGACGGTGGGTCCACAAAATAGGACCCGTTTATCTACCAAGTGCACTAATCGTAATTAAAAGACACGCACTAGAGTTATCTAACCGGTCGCCACCGTCCGCCCTCGGATGCCTGCTCACCGTGAGCGAGAGCCCCCACTGCATCTCTGACCCTGAGCCCGGGAGGCAGCAAGTGCTGAGTGAATGAGCCCAGGCCACCATCCCCCCGGCTCTGAAAGCCCCTACTAACCAAAGGCAGAAGATTTAAGCTGTATTTTCATGAGTTGTTAATTGCACACTCTTAGTTTTCTTAACTTTATAGGGCTCAGGAGTTTTCTGCCAACAGTAAAGAACCTAAAAATCATCCTAAAATTAGCTGTAGAACGTGAATGTTTATGACATCCACCGTCACCAAAAATTCATTCCTCCGTAATGATCTGCTTAATTCACCATGTAAAGGGCAGCAATGATTTAATCTAAAGTTGTTAGAAGCTTCACTGGCAAGAGAAATATAAGGATAAAGGCTGATGATGGTAACTAAGACTTTTCCATATGCTAAGTATGCTTTGCCTTATTCAGATCTCACAACAACCTGTTGCTTTTTATTTTTATTTTATTTTTGTTTTGTTTTGTTTTTGAGACAGCGTCTTACTCCATTGCCCAGGCTAGAGTGCCGCAGCATCATCACAGCTCACAGCAACCTCAAACTCTTGGGCTCAAGCAATTCTCTTGCCTCAGCCTCCCAGGTGGCTGGGACTACAGGTGCCCACTACAATGCCTGGGTAGTTTTTCTATTTCAGTAAAGATAGGGTCTTGCTCTTGCTCAGGTTGGTCTCAAACTCCTGAGTTCAAGCAAGCCCCCATGAAGATTTCTGGAACTCCTCTGCACAACTCCACAGACTCTAGCCTACCTCCGCCTCCCAGGGTGTTAGCAACCTGTTGCTTTTTAGATAAGGAAACAGACTCAAAGAGATGAAATGAACTGTTTTATGGACAAGTCAGTAAGGGGCAGAGCTGGGATAAAAACTCAGGTCATCAACCCATATTTAGCTTCCAGTTCTGACTGTGAAGGAGTAACAGGCATCACATTTCACTTCTCTTACAGAAAGCTATGAAACTGAACGAAATATTTGAAGCAAATTCTTTTGAGTCCTTGGATAACAGGTCTGTAATCCCTGAGAGAGGGCAACACATAAAACAAGCCCCTGGATTTCTGCCTTTGGAAACTTTTTAAGCTGCAGCACAGGACAAGTGGAGCTCGGATGGAGCAGAATCTCCCTGGGTGGAGGAAACAAAGCTTGGCGTTCAAGGCTTTGAGATAGCCAGAGTCTGTGGAGCTGCGCAGAGGAGTTCCAGAAATCTTCCTGGGGGCTTGCTGAGGCTTTGGTCAGTACAAAATGGCTCATGAGGCCTGTTAGCTAAAAGCCACCAGGAAGTTGGGAACCGAATGGAATTCACACAATGCTGGGCGATGCTGGCACTGTGGCCGCCAGAGAGACAGGCTGAACACCCCCGATACTCAGCTGAGACTCCAGGAGGCCACACCTTAACTGTTAGGAGCCTCCAGCCCCAGTAAAAGCTCTAGTCCACCTTAACAGAGCCTAAAAATAAACTTCAAAGGAATTAAGTTGATCCTTCAATAAATTAACTGCCTGTTAGAACTCAATTCTTTCAAACTCAATATTTGTAAAGCAGTACCACACAATCCAGACTTTCAACAATGTGAGAAACACAGTGTCCAGCATGTAACCAAAGACTCCTTGACGGGCACAGAGAGGCAAGAAAATGACCTTTAAAGAAGAGAACGAGGCCACAGAATCAGATCAGGAAATGCTACATAGATCACAACTAACACACCAGGAATTTAGCATAGTTATTATAAATATATTTTAAACCTTAAAAGAAAAGACATTAAAATAAGTGAACAGATGGGAAAATCTCACCAGAGAATGGAAACTATAAAAATGAAACAGATGAAAATTCCAGAATTAGAAAATATACTATCTCAAATTTAAAAAAAGTCACTAGGGTTGGCTGCAATCAGTGAATTTGAAGACAGGAAAACAGGTAAGAGAAAGTATTCAGACTGAGGGATGGGAAAGGCCTGTAAGAACAGACCAGAACCTCAGGAATTAGGAGGAGAACGTCAGGGAGCCTAACACACATGTAACTGCAGTTCCAGAAGAAAAGACAGAGAGAGAAACTTGAGAAAATAATGACAGGACAATTTCGAAATTTGATTGAAAATGTCAAGCCTCACACCCAAGCATCTCTGAAATCCAAGCAGAATCAACTCAAAGTAAGGCACATTTTGATACATCTTAATTAAGTTGCTGAAAGCTAAAGAGAAAACAGGGGGTGGGGGAAGCTTCATATATAGGACAACAATGGTAAAAATAACCCAAGATCTCACTGGGAGAAATGTGAGCCAGAAGACAATGAAATGGCATTTTTTAAGTGCTAAGAGAAAAAAGCCAATCAATGTGATTTCTATATGGGGCAAAAACATCCTTAAAAAATGAAGGTGAAATAACGACACTTTCAGACACATAAAAACGAAGAGAATTTGTCAACATCAGATTTTTTTTTTTTTGTAGAGACAGAGTCTCACTCCATTACTCTTGGTAGAGTGCCGTGGCATCACACAGCTCACAGCAACCTCCAACTCCTGGGCTTATGGGATTCTCTTGCCTCAGCTTCCTGAGTAGCTGGGACTACAGGTGCCCACCACAATGCCCAGCCATTTTTTTGTTGCAGTTTGGCTGGGGCCAGGTTTGAACCCGTCACCCTCAGTATATGGGGCCGGCACCCTACCCACTGAGCCACAGGCGCCACCCACTGTCACCATCAGATTTTAACTATGAGATGTTAAAGGAAGTTCTTCAGGCTGAAATAAAATGATGTCATATGGAAACTTGGATCTAAACCAAGGGTGGAGTGTTAATATGTGGGTACACATGAAAGTCTTTCCCCTTTATATCTTAAGGTCTTTGAAAGATATATGACTGTGTAAATTAAAATAATTGTAATACATTGTGAGGTTTATAGCATTGGTAGAAGTAAACTGAATGACAGTAGCACAAAAGACAGGAGCCAGGTGGATGGAAATGCACTGCCGTAGCCCGTACGTCATTCCTGCAGTGGTGTGATTCTGACTCGACACAGGCCGTGACAAGTAGAGGGTGCATGTTTAATCTCTACAGCAACCACTGACAAAATAAAGGGAAGGGACATAGCTAAAAGTCAATAAAGGAAATAAAACCAATTACTAAAAGTATTTGGTTAATCCAAAAGATGACAGGAAAGGAAGAACAAAAACTGGATGACATAAACAGAAAATAAAAAAACAAGATGGCAGATTTGCAGCTGAGCATATGAAATTACTTAAACAGCATGGACTAAACACTTCAATCAACAGGCAGCAACTGTCAGACTAGATTTTTAAAAATGGCAAGATCCAACTATATGCTGTCCTCAAGACACATATTTAGAATACAAGATACAGATAGTCAGCTCGGCGCCTGTGGCTCAAGTGGCTAAGGCGCCAGCCACATACACCTACGGTGGCAGGTTCAAATCCAGCCCGGACCCGCCAAACAACAATAATGGCTGCAACCAAAAAAATGGCCAGGCGTTGTGGCGGGCGCCTATGGTCCCAGCTACTTGGGAGGCTGAGGCAGGAGACTCGCTTGAGCCCAGGAGTTGGAGGTTGCTGTGAGCTGTGATGCCACGGCACTCTACCCAGGGAGACAGCTTGAGGCTCTGTCTCAAAAAAAAAGATACAGATAGTCCAAAAGAAAAGGGATAAAGATATACCATACAGACATTAATCATAAAAAAGTTAGAGTAACTTTACATCAAAGTACACTTCAAGACAATGAGTGTTACTAGAGAGGCATTTCCTCACAATAAAAGGGTCATTTTAGGATGTGTTACCTAGTTCAGTGTAAGCATTTCACATTGTATATTGATAGATTACATTCAAAACCTAAACCTCCTCCAATGTTCAGTACCCTGAACCCCATAAATACATCAATGTACAAAGTTATGATTTAATAAAAAAAAATTGAAAAGAAAAAAAAGAGTCATTTTACCAGGAAAACTAACAAGTCTTGCTGTATACAGTGGGCCCTTCCACATCTGTTTCCATATATGTGGTTTCAACCAACTACAGATTGAAAATATTTGAGCAAGAAAAATTGTGTCTGTACTGGATGCGTACAGACGTTTTTTGTCGTTATTCCCTACACGATACAGTCTAACAACCATTGACACAGCATTTACATTGTATTAGGTAGCATAAGTAATCTAGATCTGATTTTAAACAGGAGATGCACGTAGTTTATGTCCAAATACTACACCACTTTGAATCAGGGACTTGAGCGTTCTGGATTTTGGTGTCTGAGGGAGGTCCCGGAACAAGCCCTCCACCATTGCTGAGGAACAACTGTACTCAGTTAACTAAAAAAGTACATGAAGCAAAAATTCACAGAGAAATAGATACATCCACCATTAAGAGTTGGAAATTTGGGGCCTGGTGCATTAACAGTTGGAAATTCGAGGCCTGGTGTAGTGGCTCACTCCTGTAATCCTAGCACTCTTGAGAAGCCAAGGCAGGTGGATTGTTTGAGCTCAGGAGTTCAAGATCAGCCTGAGCAAGAGTGAGACCCCCATCTCCACCAAAAAAATAGAAAAACTAGCGAGGCGTTGTGGCAGGCACCTGTGGTCCCAGCTATGCAGGAGGCTGAGGCATTAACCCCAGGAGTTTGAAGTTGCTGTAAGCTATATGACACCATGGCACTCTACACAGGGTGACAGAGTGAGACTCTGTCTCAAAAAAAAAAAAATTTAATGCATCTCTCTCAGTAACTAAACTGATAAATACAGCAAAAATCCTTATAGATGTAGAAGATTCGGACAACACTATGGAACAATCTTACCCTAACGGACATTTACAGAGTGCTATGTTCAACAACGCCAGAATATACTCTTTCCAAAAGCACATAGGAATTCACCAGTATGGACCCTGTATGTGCGCTATGAAAAAGCGCTAATAAATTTCAAAGGATCAAAATCAGTTTCCACAAGAAAACGTCTAAAAGAGTCTCACAATAGCTCTTTTAACCAGCCAAAATCATCATGAACTTTTCTATTTTCATTTTTGGAAGATTTTGGGGCAGTGATTTCATCTCTTCGTGATTGGCACATTGAGTGCAATTCAAATTGAAAAAACACTGTCCTCAAATTGGAGTGTCTGCACCGACCCAGCACAGCACAGAACATCTTTAGCCATAGCAGTGGCACGGTCAGATGCTGCCACTTCCTCTCAGACCCCCGGCACACAGGCTCCTGTGCTGTACCTCTCCACCCCCTCTCGTGAGGATGCGTGAGGGCAGCCACAGGTAGATGGCCACTGGGTCTTGACAAAGGAGCCACCCTCACCACTGCTGGAATCCAGTCTTTTTTTTTTTTTTTTTTTTTTGAGACGGAGCCTCAAGCTATCCCCCTGGGTAGAGTGCCATGGCATCATGCTCACAGCAACCTCCAACTCCTGGGCTCAAGCGAGTCTCCTGCCTCCGCCTCCCAACTAGCTGGGACCACAGGCGCCCGCCACAACGCCCGGCTATTTTTTGGTTGCAGCCGTCATTGTTGTTTGGCGGGTCCGGGCTGGGGATTCGAACCCGCCACCTCAGGTGTACGTGGCTGGCGCCTTAGCCAGTTGAGCCACAGGCGCCGAGCCTGGAATCCAGTCTTGTAACACTCTTCTACAGGTAAAATCAAAAGGAGAAGGAATTTTTTGAAATAATCGTTTTTTAAAAAAACTGATGCATGGAAAATTATTCTTTATTCTAAAGTATCTAATTAATTTTCCACAATAATCAAATTTGTACAGTAATAGTTCAGTTTTCTATCTTCATTTTATGGGTCTGATTTTTACCACTGATTCCTGGCTAGTCTGATTTTAAGTTGGAGGAGATCTAATTGAACGGCATTTTTATTCACAACTCGATCCTTCTGGGGCAGTGCATCTGTGGATTTGTGTATGTGCATGTGTGTGTCCTCCCTGTATGGTATGTGTGTAATTTGGGGCTTGTATGTATATTTACATATTTGGGGTACAGATCTCGTGTTTCCCTTAGCAAATAAAGTAGTGGCTTCTGGGGCTCGTGGAATGTGGGGGGCAGGGCCTCTAATCCCGGCCCCACTGTGTGTCTGTTGCAGTTGCTTCCTGCTCTCCAGGCTTTATCCTCCTGAACGCAGGCTGGCATCAAGACCACCTGGGAACAACCCGGGAAAGACCTGGAGAGCTGATTTCAATATTTTCTCTCTTCCTGGTAAAATATTTATTGAAACTGTGCAGAGCGAGAAGTCTTCCTCTGGTTCAGAAATTGTTTGCCTGTAAACACACTGACCTAGACTGGGGGAGCCAAGCGAGACCGGAGAAAATAAATAAACTGTAGGTGGCTATTATGCAGGAGTCGGGGCTAGACGCAGGCACCTGGGGCACCGCAGACAACCACAGCTCCAAAGGACATAAAAAATGACGACCGGAAACAGTGCCGGCTCTTTGGGCTGCAGATGTGTATTTATTGGTTAATGTTTTCATGGCAATATTCTTTAGGAGGGAAAAAAGTCTACCCCTGCAAAGATGGATAACTTAAAATTGTTAAGAACAGAGAGCAGGAAAGAAATGGAGGCTGGGCAGGGCGGAGGCAGGGAAAGCTCTGGGAGCCAGTGGCTCCCGGGCACTCACCGTTGACAAGGCTGTACTTCTGGGCCAGGAGGGCAGCTTGCAGACTTTTCCCACTGCCCAAGGGCCCACACAGCAGCACCCTGGGGGTGAACGGGGCATTGGATCGATGGTTGGTTTGAACGTAGGTCAGAGCTGGAAAGACAGGATATGAAGATAGTAAAGCCAGGCCCTAAAGAGCAGGAGGTGGCTGCACAGCCTCTGCTCTGGCTTTTTAACGGCAGTCATGATTTCTCTCTTTTACAGCACCCCGGAAACCCTCTGTGTGAAGTGGCAGGGGAAGGACCTATGTGGCCGGCCGGGCACCAGGGCGGGGAGGGGGCAGTGAAATCCACAGAAGCCTCCTCTAAAACGTGGTGCAGGCATCCGTGTGCACATCCCTCCATGTGGAAGCAGGGCAGATGGGAGATTGCCCTGGGACGCGGCAGCACACATGATAGGCTTGGGAGGTCTGAGGCCTGGCACCAAGCAGGTCTCCTGGGGCATGTGCACGCTGGCTTTCCACGGGGTGTGCAGAGTGGGACCAGGCAGGTCTCCAGGGGCAGGTGCACCCTGGCTTTCCACAGGGTGCGCACAGTGTCAGACACAGGCTTTGATGTGTGCGTCAGGCCACCCGGGGGCCTTGCACACAGGGACTTCTAAAGGACTCAGGAATTGGTGGAGAATAATTTGTGCGGCCGTACTCCAGGGACATCGACTTTGTTGCAAGCCTCCAAACAGTGGAGGCAGTGATCAAATAGGTCACGGGGTGAGCAGAGGCAGCCGGCGCAGCCCTGGCCTGCGGTGTGCCCCTGGCATTTGAGGAACAAAGGAACTAAGACAGGGGTGAGTGTCTCCGACAATGAGGTGGCCTGCGCCGTGGGGGCACCGATGCCAAAAAGCCACAGAGAGAAGCAACTGAACATCAAGCCAGGTCCCTCCTGCCAAGCTCAGAGAGGGACCCATGGGGACAGGCCAATGAGGCCATAAAAGGGCAGCATTTCAGGCACCTGAGCTGGGGGAGCTGCCTACAGATGAGGCGCCCACCCGCGCCCAGAGCCAGCCTCAGAGCAGGGTGTCCTTCCCCAGGCCTTGCCTCCTGCCGAGGTCCAAGGTCCACCCTGAGTGGCCCCATTATACCTGCCTGCCAGTCTGCTGGTTCTGGGTAAGGGCAAGCCACCCAAACCACCCACAGATATGCTGGTTTCCCTGACCTGGGCTATACTGACATTTGGGGCCCGTGATCCCCTGTGGTGGGGCTGTCCTGCGCATAGGAGGATAGTGACCAGCATTGCTGGGCTGTGAGGTGCCAGCAGCGCAATCCCAAGTTGTGGCAACCAAAAGCGGCTTTCTGACATTCCCAAACGACCCTGGGGCGTGGGGGGAGGCAAAACTGCCCGCAGCGGAGAACTACTGGGATATGTTCATTGTGCAAATTTTGAACTCCCAAATGTTTGTGAGAGTTTTTTAATTGGAAGGATCATGCTAGTGATCCTACAGTCCCCTCTTTTTAGAAGGAAAGGTACAAGAAAGTTAGAACTGAGTGTCTTCAAGGCTGTGATAATCACCCCCCACCCCAGTGGTAGCACACACGAAACACTCCACACGCAGCCCCCTTGTTTGACCCAGCAGCCCCACGAGGGGTATACTGTTCTTGTTCCCATTTTATAGATGAGTCGATTAGGCTCAGAGACTTGGCAGAGTTGGGGCAACTTTCCCAAAGTGCTGCATGGGTAACACGCCCCGGAGGGAAGCCCAGGGGAAGGGGTTCGGGCAAAGCTTCTCTTCATTCTCAGCCTTCCATGATCTGCAGAGCACAAACACTACAGGCAAAGCAGCCTGCTTACAAATGATGCTTAATTTACGGTAAATAACTAAGTTAATTAGAAGTAATGATCCCCCAGACAGTCGCAACATCTAATTATTCTTTTTAAAAATATGTGGTTGCTGGATGCGCTGCAGAGAGATTAAAAAAACAACACAGAGAGAATTTTGCATTCCAATTTTCAATTTATCTCTCTGCATTATTAATTAATAATAATTAATATTCAGACACTCACATTTTTATTTACAATTCCAGGCATGAATTCTTTATGAACGATCATATGAACTTTTAAATTTAATTAAGTAATTTGGAAGTAATTAATGCATAAATGCAGAATCATGCCATAAGATAAATGTTGTGGTTGTTTATCTTCAGAGCGCAGTGTTTGCTACTAAAGACCCTTCCGAGATGCAAAAATCACTAGGAAATTATAAGCCACCGTAAGCCTGGCATTTTGTAAAGTAGCATCATTCCTACACACTCGCCCGTTGGTTGACTGCCCCCTTCTGAGAGCCAGGCTGTGCCACCTGAGCAAAATCACATGCCTGGGTTCTCGGGAAAGCAAAGCTGTCCATGAAACAAGTCTATGAGCAGCAGAGGAGCTGGGAGAGCTGGCGGGGAAGTTTGAGGGAGTTCAGAACCACCTGTGCATCAAAACAAAACCTCTGTTGAAGAGATTTGAGAGAACATACCAAGAAAAGGACTTTATAAACTGGCATGTGTTTGAGATGACTAAAGCTCAACAAGACTTTTAAAAATTATAATACTGCTGCTTGGGACTAGAATTATTCTAACTTTCCCTCGTCTTCCTGGACAGGATGTTGAATCACGGTAACAGCAGCTGCGTCTGCTGTCCAGTGAGCCCTGGCCCTGTACCCGCTGCTGTGCCTGTACCCAGGCTGTGGGTACCTGAGTTGGGGAATCTCACTTAATCACTTAATCATCACCTATACCTGGGCCGATAGCACGAGTTTTGTTCCCACTTTAGAGATGACAAAGCTGCAACTCAGAGGGGTTACGAGACTGGCTGAAGCCTGCACAGCTGACCTGTGCTGGGGCTGAGATTTGAACAGTCAGGTTCAGCAACCCTCACAGGCTGCCTGAGCAGGGTGCTGCGAACACTGTTATTGCCACCGTGGTGCTCAGGGGCTTATCTCTGTGCCAAGAGGACTCACAACACCTGACTTATGTTGTGACTTTTGTTTTTGTGGTGATGAGTTTTATTTTTGTTCTAATCTTTATAAATTTTTCTTTCTTCTCCCTCAAGGTCAGGCCCACACTTCTCGATACTGTGTCTCTTCCACCCTGTCCTTCCTCTCTCCTCCCCGACCCCATCTCTTTCTGTCGGATCTGCTGTGGGCCGCAGATGGGTCCAAGTTTGCGTGCAGGACATTAGCCCAGGGCCTCTGAGGGGGTGCTCCTGAGCTGGGACCCTGGGCTGCCTGTGGCTTAACACCTGGGTCCCAGGTACATCCTGTACATGGGCTGCTTCCGGAGTGAGTGCGCTGGGCCAAGGAGGTAGAAGTTCATGGTGAACCAGGCCCTTGGACACGTGACCGGGAGAGGGGCTGCCTGTTTGTGTTTACCCTGGTAGAAGACGTCCACACACGGCTGGTCCGCACTGATGACTTTCAGGATTTTGGGGTAAGAAGGGAGGATCCTGACGATGTTCCTGTGGTACTCCAGCAGTCTCCGAGCCGTCTCCATCTCCGAGATACCACTTGGCACCATCAGGCGGCTCTGGATTTCAGACTGGGGGGGCCAGTCGAAGGTGGTGTGATAAATCTCTGCCAGGAGAGAGACACAGAGTCACACACCCAGGGCCACTGTGCACATGGCTGGATGCTTGCTGGCCTGGGGCCGGGGCCTGAGAATTCTGGGGGTGTGTGTGACTACAACAGGACAGTCACTGATGCCAGCACATCTAGGTGTGTCCTGGCTCCGCATCTGCCCTGACTGTGGCTACTGTTCCTGTAACAATAACAATAACAAAACAATGACACTGGTACAGGACCAGGGCAGCTCCTCCTGCTCTGGGCACTCCTACTTGTGCACCCGCCTGTAGACGGTCACCTCATCCTCACAGCAATCCCATCACAAAGTTGGTTTCAGGACTTTCATCCCCAAGTACAGATGAGAAAACTGAGTCTCAGACGAGTATTCTGTGTCTACAGCTGGACAGGGGAAGAGCCAGGGACCCACAGAGCCAGGTCTCTCTGTCACCAGAGCTTGAGCACTGGAGGCCAAGGACATACCCCCTTGGAATTGTCCAGTCATTTGTTCTGTTTTTTTGTTTTGCTACAGGGTCTGACTCTGTTTCCCAGGCTGGAGTGCTTTAGTGGCACAATCACAGCTCACTATAACCCCTGACTTCTGGGCTCAAGCTAGTACTACAGGTGTGCATGACCATTCCGGCTACTTTTTAATTTTTTTTGTAGAGATGGAGTTTCACTATGCTGCCCAGGATGGTCTTGAACTCCTAGCCTCAAGAGATCCTCCAGTCTCAGCCCTCAGCCTCCTAAAATGCTGGGATTAAAGGCATGAGCCACTGGGCCCAGCCCCAGCTGGTCTTTAAGACCCAACTCAAAAGTCTCGTCTCCACTCGCCAGTTATCCCTGTAGCACTCGTGCCTGGCTCTTCTGTATGTATGCCCAAGAGCTTGGGGCACAGCATTTGTTCCAGGGAGACACAGACACATTCCCTTGGTTCCACTGTGAGCTGAGCAGAGGTCAAGATCCACACTCTACTCTGGTTCTGCCACAAACAAGGCTCCCTCTCTAACCTGAATGGGCCTCCTTTCCTCAGAGCTGGAATTGTCCCCCAAGTGCCATCCAGCTCAGAGCCTCGCCTGTGGCATCTGTGCCTCTGCTTGCCTATGTGGCTTCTCCCACACGCCTCCCAGCAGGGTACAGCTCAGGAAACAGCAGGTGGGGCTGTTGTCGCTGAAACCCCATGGGCTGCGGCCAAGCTGCAATGGCCATACCTCCAGTATAAGGGTCGATCCTCTTCCCCAAGTTCCTCTCGATCAGGACCGTGTCTAGAGCACTCAGCAAGACTGGGCGGAGAAGAGGAGGAATGAAACCAGGCATGGTAGGCTGCAGGTGTCACACATTTAAACTTCAATCTTAGGACTGATAACTTATTTCATGGGTTTTTTTGTGCTGTGTAATGGCAGTAAAACAACCATCGCCCATCCCCATAAATGCCTAAAATAAGGGTCTTCTCAGCACCCAAACAAAATGAATATAAATAATCTCAGGACAGAGCTGGCCCACACTGAACATTCCCTCTGCTAACAATTTCTGCCGCCATAGAGGACACTGCAGAGAACACCTTTGAGCATACATCTCTGTCCCATTCTGGGTCATTTCCTAAAGAGAATTTCTAGGATATGGGACTCCTGGGATGAGGAATTACCAAGGTGAAAACAAAGCTCCTCTTTTCTTCAGAACCAGCACTGAATCCATTTGTGAAATGCTGGGATTGCAGGCAGCATTTACCATGAGCCACAGGGTCCAGTCCCATCTGGTCTTTAATACCCAACTCAGGGATCCGGTTCCCTTTGTAGAAAACTCAACTGTGCTGACCTCCTTTCTCTGGCTGGGTCACAGGCCCCTACAGCTCTAGTCTTGGCTGGAGCCTGGGCTGAGGCTCCGGAGGCCCGCAGTACGCAGCAGGACGCTCCCAGGCCCTCGTCGGCTGCAGCTGTGCTGGGAGCTACTCACCAACATGCCTGGGGATGATCCCCCGGCTCTGGATTATCAGCGCCTGCTCCCGGGTCTCAGGGATGCCATCCAGGATCCAGCCCTAGAGAGAATGTAGAAAGGCGCGCATCTATTTTAAGTTTTAGATTTTCATGTAGTTATTTTAAAAGAAATAGAACAGCACAAAAGAAAGACTAAAACTCTTAAGACAAAAGAACATAAATGCCTCTGATAACTTGCTTGCTTCCGTAAGCTACTGTCTGATACTCTCCTTCATGTCCTGACTTTTCCCACCACACACCATCCAGGTACTTCATGCTGGCGCAGCTCTTCATTGCCGCCATTTCAGTGTCACACCAAGAGATTATGCCACAGGTCCTTAATGAGGCCACTTCACAGCACATCTTGACTGCTAATCATTTTCACTATCCTGGATAACACTGTGGTGAACATCTCTGGGCACACAGCCCTTGCTCTATTTTGGATTATTTCCTAAAAAGAATTTCTGAGATATGGGATTCCTGGGCCAAGGAATCACCAGAGTGAAAACAAAACTATGCTCTTTTTTTTTCTGAGACAGGGCCTAGTTCTGTCCCTGATACAGTGGTGTCGTCATAGCTCACAGCAAACTCAAACTCCTGGGCTCAAGCGATCCTCCTGTCTCAGCCTCCTGAGTTGCTGGGACTACAGGCACCTGCCACCATGCCCAGCTAATTTTTCTATTTTTTGTGGAGACGGGTCTCATTCTTGCTCAGGCTGGTCTCCAATTTCTGAGCTCAAGTGATCCTCCCACTTGGGCCTCCCACAGTGCTAGGATTATAGGCGTGAGCCACCACATCTGGCTCAAATCCCACTTTTCTAAAAAACAAACCCTAAAAGACACATCAGGAGACCTGAGATCAGGCTTCTGCTCCTTTAGCTCCCTTGTTACAGGGCTGAAATGCCTCTGACAGCAGCCCCATCTTGGTACAGCTAGGAAATTGGTTTAGAAGACTTATTTTTATTAACCTTTTAAATTCAATTGTGAAAGTAATCCATGATCTTTGTAGACTACGTGGGAAATCCTGAAAAGCTGAAATAATAAGGCAAGTCACTGGCAACACCTTAGACTCAAACAAGACACGGCTAGTGTCTCCTTCCAAAATAACCAAACACTTATCTTCCAGAAACAGATACTTTTTCTCCTGAAAGTGGTGTAGGGCAGGAATCAGGCTATATATACTATTTTATGGGTAGTTTTAGAGATGGGGGAGTCTTGCTATGTTGCCAAGTTTGGACTGGAATTTCTGGACTCCAGGGATCTTCCTGCCCAGCCTCCTGAGCAGCTGGACTTGCAGACACTCACCACCGTGCCTGGCTGTACGCACTTTTGTAATCTGGTTTTCTCACATAACAAAAACACTCCACGAGCATTTCCCCATGCCACCAAATGTGCCTCTCTTAGACGTTTTCCTAGCTGGCTGGTATTGCATGAATTGATCTGCCAAATGCTAACTGACCCTGTACTGGGGCTCATTTAGTTTGATTCCAGTTTTTCACCATTTTTTAAAAATGTGCGTACATCTAAATACATATCAAATATCCCCAAGGTAAATTTCTAAAATTGTTACCTTCTTGTATGACTTTTGATACATTTTGCCACATCTACAAAACTGCATGGCCAGTTTGTGGATCCTACAGCAAAGCTCCTGTTTCCTGCATCTTTGCCAATGTTGGGCGTCATCATCTTGGGAGAAAAAACTCTGTCCAGCAAACCACAGTGCACCCCTGACGCGGGGATTACGTTTCCTTGATCACCACAGAGGTTGGATTTTTTTTCATATGTTCATTGGTTTTGTTGAATTTTTTTCTTTTGCAAAATGTCATCTATTTTCTCCTTAGAGTTTTATTCTTTTATTTACTGATAAGAACTCTATATGCTAAGAATATTAATCCATTTGGGCAAACATTACCACAAGTCCTTTGGAGCAGTCAGCATTGCCAGTGTTTTCCAGATTGTCTGGGGCCTTTTAATTTCGTGATGGTGTTTTTAATACACCACTTCGGGCCAAATCAACCGCTGCCTTCCTCTTAGAGTTCTTGTGTTGTGTGGAGGCACTAACAAGGCCCAGCCCCAAAGCTGACGCACAGCCACTGGCATTTCCAGGTGTTCTCTTATGTTTTTCTCTTTACAGGTAAATATGTAATAGAGCCACATTGTATTTTATTTTATATTTTTATTATTTTTAATTGTCTTTTATTAAATCATAACTTTGTACATTGATGTATTTATGGAGTTCAGGATACTACTTCGATCACATTGTATTTTATTTTATTTCGGATTAATGTGAGGGTATAAACAACTAGGTTATGATGCTTTCATTGGGTAGGTAGAATCCCTCTGGTAGTTGTGTCCCAAACCCAAGAGGCTTGTGACACACCCTTACCTTGTGCCCACCATCTGGGAGCTCATCGAACCCCCTTCCTCCTCCCTCATTCCCCTACCCCCCAACTTGAATTGAATTGAGTTTTTCTCTTGTGCGAGCATGTATTAGTTTGCCTACTGGCTTCATATTAGCATTGAGTATATTGGATACTTGCTCTTCCAGTCTTGTGATACTTTACTAAGAAGAATGCCATCTAGGTTAATGCAAAAGATGTGAAGAGTCCATCCTTTTATGCCTGAATAGGATTCCATGGTGTACATATACCACAGCTTGCTAACCCACTCCTGGGTTGGTGGGCATTTCACACTGCATTTTATGAATGATGTGGGGCCACCTCTCACTGTGTCCTCGGAGGTCCCTGACCTTCCCAGCCTCATCTGGGAGCAGTCTTTTTTCCTCTCTGACGTTACTCTTACCATGGTCTAAACGCTGCCCTCTTCCTGCCTAAGGGCTATTAAATTATTGTTTTTTAGCCATTTACATTATTGTTGTTTCATAAGTTATGGTCATATCTATAAAGTATGTTCTCCCTTCTCCCCCCCCCTAAAATTTATTCTTCCAGGTAAGCATCAAAAATATTTTGTCAAGTTTCAAAGTGGAAATTCAAGTAGGATTTTGGAATTACATTGAATGTGTAGATGAGTTCATGAAGAACTAACATTTCACAGTATCCAGTCAACACATTCTCATTTGCTGAAGTTGTTTTTATATGTCCCTCAGCAATGTTTACACTAATTTCTAAAGTCCATCCAAGTCCCACAAGTCTGCAGTTATACATTGACAATGTAATGCTCTTGATATTCAGATAAATTAGTTACTGAGCCTTGGAGAAAGACGGTCAAGCAGTAAATTGCCTCCCATGTCTCCTCTGCAGGGAAGAAGGCCGGGTCACTGGAGCTGGAGCTGAGGTCCTGGCCATGCCCCCAGGAGGGAGCCCCGGCTCCAGCCTCCCCTTGGCATTATGTGATCTCAGTTGCTCTCAGGTCAGAAGGACAGATATGGATGAACTCAGACCTTCTAACTCCAGGTCACATACAACCCAGGCCACCCAACTCAGAGAATACAGTATGAGTGATAGCAGGACATGGCTTCCTTTAAAAACCAAAAAGTGCTCACATTTCTCCAATGTTAAAATATTTAGGTCCCAACAAGCTCCACTGACAGTTAGAAAAAAAAAAAAAAAAGCTAAACAAATTTACAGCCTAAAGCATGTTGGAAAACTCAGGTGAGCTTTTCATTAATTTCTTAAATTATACAGGAAGACTCCCAGCCACAGAAACCCTGGTTTCCAGAACTAATGAAGCAAAAGTGCAAAAAAAAAATTTTAACAGCCTTTTGCTCCCTCAAGTCCTTGTTATGGCCAGGCGGGCACTGGGCTGCAGCTCACAGAAAGAGCAGGCACCCGCTGACGTGAGGACACCACGGGAGGCCGGAGGCCAGGCGCCTCAGAGCTCCCTCACTGGAGTTCTGGAAACCCAACTAACGTTCTCTGAACTTCAGCTAAATTCCTACCTCCTTATTTATTTTCTTTCTTTGAATTGTGTGAGCCCATTGATTGCTTTTCCTCGTATAAGGGCTGGTAATTCTGTTTCGAGTCTCTTTTTGAAGCTGGAAGAAGGCTGGAACTCCATCTTCACTCAACACCAAGAGAGACCTCTGCTTTTAATATTGCATTACTGAGCAATCATTATAATCTCGCCCATAAATCCGCAGCTGCTATCAGTATGTGGTCCAAACCTTTTAGAACTATTCAGGGGGAACATCTCCCACTGATCCACACTGGAGAAAGTGGGACTTCCAATTACACAGGAAAAGTGCAGCAAAATGAGGACCATCTCCCTAATTAGCCTGGCCTCACTGGCGTGTCATGGTGGCGCAGATGTGAAAATTCAGAAAGAAGAAGCTGCGAGCCTCTGAAGTGAGCCCAGGCCGTGCACTCTTCAGATCCATGGCTTTCTGCCACGGAGAGGGGATGGTTGATCACCCAGGTGCTGAGAAACGAGGTCCCTGAGGAGCCCCAGCACAGCACCCAGGCCCATCACAGCAGCCCCACATTCTAGGAGATGCAGCCATGGAGGCCCACGTTGGTCCACACCCATCCACCCACCAGGAAGGGAAGGGCACCCTGACCAAGGCCTCTGGGTGAGGGCAGGTTGACCCTACAGCATCCTCGCGATGGAAGCTCCAGGCTTAGCACTCAGAAGAGGTCTTTCCTAGAGCTCTTGCCTTTAAAGAACTCATTTTCCCAGTTGCAAAATGGACAGCACTTTCAAAGGGAAATAGCAATTTTGGCTGAGGACAATTTAATGGCTGAGAATCCTGGCAAAGCAAGAAGTCATAAATCAGTAAACGGCATCAACAACGGCCGTGGTGGGATGCTAAGACGCCCCCAACAACCCCGCGCGTGAGGTGTGCGACGTCCAGGGGTGGCGGGGTGCGGAGGTAGCAGTCAGTCCCTAATTAGAATACATCATCCATCTTCCTGACACTTCAGTGAGATGTCTACTCCGCTCTGGAACTGCAGCTTTGTTCAGAGCAGGTTAATTGATATTCTGATGCCTTCGCTCGCCATACCCCCGTGGCTTGGTTCTGTTTTATCACACATCAAAAAGGCCGTATGCTCAGGGCACTCCGTGCACCAGTGCAGAGCTGGAGGTCTGCACAGCTGCGAGGGGTA